GCCAGCCCACACTCGGAAATTCCTTCTCCATAAGTGTCATTTATATGTTGGCTTCCAGAAGCTGGGAAAGCCATCCCTTTTGGTGGGGACACTGGCTGGGTAGATAGCAGAGGGCATGAGCAGTTTCCTGTCAAATCAGTTGCCACACTAGTACTTCATAGTTTTACCAAGTGACTTTTACCCACATGACCTCATTTAACCTCACCATACTACAGAAATTTGACCAAGGTCATCCAGAATTGGTAACAAGGAAAGCAGACTCAAACTGAGACATTTCTGCCCCAGAAATGTGTTCTGATTCCCAGGTACATGACCTCAGAGGACATGTGATTATGAAATGAATGGAAGTCTTCTTATTTTTTTTACTTCATTTCTTACAGTAATATATCTTTGTTGTCTTTTTTGAGGCAGGGTGGTTTTGTTTGGTTATGAATTAGTTTGTTAATCTCAAAGTAAGAATACCATTATTAAACACAGAATTTGAAAAAACTCAGACTCTGAATGCTTCTCCTTTTTACATGTGTGTGACTTTACTTAATTTTTCGTCATAAGGTATATGGTGTGGGCCAATAGATACCAATATAGATGACTATAAAGACACATGCATAAATACATATACAAAATATATGTATACATATGTACATATACAAATGGTGTATCACAACAAAAATGACTGCAAAAGCTACACACATTGAAAAGGATGGGAAATGTACCTGGGACCCAATTTCTGGCTGTCAAAGGCAACAGACAGTCATCATACTAGCCTCCATGATGGAAGGGAAGGGAAGGGGGAAGGGAGAAGGGGAAAGGGGGAAGGGGGAAGGGGGAAGGGGGAAAGGAAGTTCTCCAATTTCTCCCCCTCTCACCTTCCATGCAGTGAGACAACCATGAGGCTTTTCTGCTACTCCCCTCAACCCAGACATAATGCTGTTTGGACCAGTCCAATTAGTACACTAATAAAAATGCAAAACTATAGACCAGCAACAAAAGAAAAGTGTGACTCTAAATTGAAAAAATAAAGGAAGAAAGCCCATACCAGAGTTAGAATTCTTTGGGCAAATATCCTATAATCTACTGCCAGACCAAAACAAATTTTTATGGAGCAGTATGACTACTCAAGTAGCCACTTTGTAATAATAAACACCCAAAACAAAATCCTTTCCTAACATAATTACTGCGAATATATAAAGTAACCATTTAATCCACAGCATGTGTTATCTGCCACAAAAACTCAGTAGCTGAGATCAAATGGGGTGTGGCTCATGAAGATCCTGAAAATGAATTCTGGCAGGATGAAGGCATACAGCTCTCTGGCAGGGCTTGGGATCTAGAAGACAAGCAGGTCTGACAGATCAGAAGGCCGTTGACCTTCTGCGCACAGGGCAAGGCCCATCTGTTTACTCCCATTTTGCTTCTAGAAGCATGGCTGAGTTAAGGCCATGGTTTTGGGTGTTGCAAGTGATTTCATCTTAATATTTTTACCCTTACCAGTTGTACACATTTACCGATGAAAGTAAGGCATACCTTTTAAGCTGAAAAATATAAAACTTTGAGTTTTAAAATAAAATAAATGAACATTGGGCAAAAACATAGGTATTTCAAACCAGCCAGTATAAGTGGCAGGCAACTGCATCCATTTCAAAACTTACAAAAACAAAGTCATTTCCTAAACAAAAAAAGATAACAATGATATCAATTGAGTAAAACTCTTTTGGGATTTTTTTAGCTCTTGCTCATTAATCTACAAGAAGCCCAAGTGGACAAACTCATTTCTCCAAAAGAAAAAAAAAAAAAGAAAAGAATACATTTGTGCTGGGTGTGGTAGTGCACACCTAGAATCCCAGCACCTGGGAGTCTGAGACAAGAAAAGTACAAGTTCAAGCCTAGCCTGGGCTCATAGTGAGACCCTGTCTCAAATAAAGTATGTGAATTCAAATAAATTTGTACTATTACTAGTTTTGTACTATAGGTAGATTTATGAACTTGACACTCTAAGAAGAATGTTTCTTGCAAATATAAAAAAATGACATCCCAATTTAATGTAATTATTCTAATATTATTTAATTTGTACCTTGTATAATGGAACATATTTTATATGTTCAACTATTTGACATCACCTCACTGGGCAAGGTTACTCTAGATTAACCAACATTTCCAATTCAAAATGCCCACAGTACAGGCCTACAACCTATGCATTTAAATCATCTTTGCTGAGACAAAACACACCTACGTTTAAGATCAAATTATTTCATTCAATTGGTAACAGCCTGCTTCATGATGTAACCTCCAAGACTCACTCTGACGCTATGAAACGAGTATTTCCCTTCACAGGAGGCCAGAAGAGATCTCTAGCAACATGTAGGCCTGATGCATGCCCTTGGGACTGTATGTCAAGCATCCCTTCTGTTCCCTCAGAGCCTGGGAGAGACAGTTTGCAGCCCCTCCCCTTTCAGTACAAGCATTGACTGCAGCTGCAGTAAACAACCACCAGCCAAGAGTTGCTAAGGTCAAGGTCTCAAATGCTACACCAGGACCCTTTCCTCCAAAAGGACATTCATTTCTTGAAGAGGCACTTTGGAGGGCAGGAGGTGTTAAGGGCTCATTAGTACAACAATTTTCATTCGACAAACAGTAATAAAAAGCATTCCCCAATAAAGTTTAGTTGGTTGAAGTTTCTTTTAAAAATACCTTACTAAGTAGTAGATAAATAACTGAAGGACTTCAATAATAAACAGAAATGCCTCAAGAATGTTTTGTTGAACATGACATGGCTATGTCAGTTAGACAGTTTTAATTCATAAATTATGAAATTTGTACGTGAAAACATTCCAATTTTCCCAGTTTAAGTGTATTTTGTAATAATTATGAGCTGGTAGAATAATAAGCCTCTTTCACGTATTTCTGCCAATACTTCCCTGCTCAGATTCCCAACTCAAAGGAGCTTAATATACTCAATCTGGAACCAACACTGACCAGGCTGCAACAATAAAGATGTAACTGCAACTGAAACGTCTTTCAACATCTTATTCCTACTAAGGTTCTGTAGTTACAATTTTTCTAGCCTGAAAGTATACCCCTTTAACGTGGCCAATTTCTATGTGGTTTTTAAAAATGTAAACAACATATGAATGAGATTTGCCAATAGCACAACCAGCCTTTTTTTCTTGGGGGTGGGGGTGGCCACTGTTGTAATTAAATGCCTATTTCAAAGGCATTTCTTACAGTGTCACTCTTCAAAGTGACCATTCCTATTCCCACCGCAAGCTGCTGCCTGCTAAAAGCCACCAAATATATTTCAACGCATTTTCTTATCTAAACAACTCTATCCTCCACTGAGAAGAGGGCATGCAGGCGTCTAGGTGGACTTGCAGGATGACGTGTATTTGATTGGCAGGTGTCTACGAAGCAACTAGATGCACACGTACTAAATGTAAATAGAGCGGCCCGTCTCTCTCGGGTGTTACAGGGAGACAGAGAACGTTAACGCCGAGTTAAAATAGCTTATTGCTTGTCCGAGAATTCTATTAGCCAGTGGAATTATTTAAAACAATCCGTAGAGAAAGGATACTTACGCCATCTGTACAGTTAAATTAGAGAGCTGACAATACTAACCACACAAACTGTTTATCCAGATTACACATTCCGTGGTACTAATACTCTTTAACTCAACAGAGTCGGCTTTTATCAGCTGAATTAAGGCTATTACTATTAAAGTATGCAAAACTCGAAGAGCAGGGGGAAGGGAGCAGGGAAGCTGCAGGGCATATAACAAAGGAATTGGTACTTTTTCTGAGCTTTTGCCTCAAATGCACTGCGAAACTAAACTGTTGAGTGCACCCCACCCTTTTCCCCAAAGATAAAAGTTTTCAAAGTTCTAGTAGGCAGCTCTCCACCCAACAAAAGCAGGATGAATTCTCCCTGTGGGAAAGCATCTAACATAAGCACCAACTAATGTCGCGGAGGTCAAGTCCAAGCCCTCGGAGTGAGCTGGTAAGGCAAGAAGTGGCTCCAAGGCCGGCTCCGAGGGCTTCCCGACCCAGGTGGCTCTGCAAAGTTGCCCCTTGTCAACTCCGGCCAGGTTCCCGTAATTGAAAATTACGGGCTGGCCCGTGGCTACTTCCATGGACCAGGCACTGTAGCAAGTGACAGTTACACATCATTACGACCAGAGACAATAATGAATGTAGCACCAGGACCACTATTCATGCCAGCAGTGTCATCTCCGCCTTAACCCCTTCCCCTCCACTCTCTCCAGCGCACACACACAGCCCGCTCGGCCCCGTGCGGCTATTCATCCAACCCATCTATTTCTGGGGACCAACTACTCCCACGACCTCCCCCCCCCCATATTCAGCCCAGGGTTTTATTTCTCATCCGTGGCAACTGTCAGGCAAACACGGCAACCAACAATTCCACTACGGGTGGAAAAACATTTGCTTAATTCGCCTTACTTGCTAAGTTCTTTTTAAAAATTTTAGGGGAGTGGGAGAAGTAACCTTCCTCTTTCTTCTCCACGAATCCGATCGCCTCTACTTGCTATGCAATAGCATCGCCCTTCCCCGACCCCCTCCCGCTCCCCAACACTTTCCCCCACCTCTGTAAGAACACAGACCAACCAAAATGATTTAACTTGAGCAGATGACAGAAGGAAAAATAAAGCATGTTAAGAGAAGACGGTCTGATTTGGGATGACAAAAAAAAAAAAAAAGAGGGGGTTGTTTATTTTGATAAGAAACGGAATCGGCACAGACCTGAACAGAAGCTGCAGAGCAGGAGAAATTGTTTTCTTTCCCTCACACAGAGTCCCCCTCTCTCTCGCCCTTTCTCTCTCTCCCTCTCTCACACTCGCGCGCGCGCACACTCACTCTCGCACACACACGGCGTCACCCGCGCACACGCACACTCACACGCACACGCAGAACCTCTCAGCTGCTCTCTGCAGTTCTCAGGAAATGAATGGGGGGCGACCCAGGGAACTGTTGTACTTGCAAATGACTTACCCGGATCACATGATGCGCTAAATGTAGGGTGGGCCGGTGGGTGGAGGCTGCCGAGACGCGAGCCCCGATCTAGCGTGGGGAGCCTCGCCAGGCCCGCATCGAATTACCCCGGGGCCCAGCCGAGGGGGTTGCAGGACGCCGCTTCTCCTCCCTTGCAGCCCGCAGCTCAGGAAACCGGAGAGGCGCGGGGGGGTGGGGTGGGGTGGGGTGGGGTGAGACTGGGGAGGAGGGGGGGTGAAAACACCAAACCCCCAAACAAAAGAGCTCCGAGTCCTCCTCCCCAGAAACAAAGCCCCGCCGCTGCGGGCGAGCCCCGGGGTGGGGCCGAGGGCGGGGGCGGCGGCGGGGAGGGGCTCGCTCAGCAGGCGCTAAGTCGCTTTATTGCCATAAAATGGGGCCCCCGAGCCGCTCCGCCCGAGGATTAGGAGGCGGGCTCTGAGTGTGATGGTTGAAATCCCCTGTGGGAAACTAACCCCTCCCCGCACGCAGAGGTAGAAGGCGACACCCACTGCCCGGCCCTCGCCAGGCCGCCCGGGCCGCCGGCTGGGGGGTGGGTCCGCGGAGCCTCCACCCCGCCCCACCCCTGCCCCCGCCCCTGGCCCCGGGCCTCGGCCGCGCGTCCCTGTCACCTGCACCACCTCTCTGCGGCACCCCAAATAACCTACACATGGCCCACGGAGCTGTGGGAGCCGCCGGCTGAGGGGGCCCTCGGGGGCTCGAGGCGGGAGTCACCCCCCGATTGCAACTCGCAGGGCGAGGACTCGCGCGGAGCCGCCAGAAAGTCCCCTCTTTTGTGTCCGAGCGTGCCAAGCAGCCTTAGGACAAGAATTCGGAGACAAATAAAGCGCCGAGCGCGCGCGGCCCCCGCCCCCTCCCCACTCCCGGCCGAGTGGGGGCGCGCCGGGAGGGGGCCGGGCGCCAGCGCTGTCCCCGCGGCTCACCCGCCCGCTAACTTGGAAAGGTGTGGGCGGAGCCGGCTCCGGCGGCGGGCTGAGGCTGCGGGGTCCGTCCCCGGACGCCCGGCATCTCCGGGTCGGGCAACAATGGGGTCCGGGCAGGGACAGCCCAGCGGGCGGCGGAGGGCTGGGCAAGGACGCCCGGGAAATCATTGTTTGGGTTTGGGAGCGATGCACGTTGCGAGCGAGGCGGGGGCGTCCTTCCTCCTCGCGCTTCACCTTGGCGGGATGAATGGGGGCGAGGCGGAGACGCGTACCTCGTCTCGCCACCCGTGGAGATGGGGCGCCCGCCCGCGCCACTTCTTTAGGAAAGCAGACAACTCGCAGGAGGGGGCTAAGGAAGCGGGAGCCGTGGACCCCTGCCCAGCGCGCCGGAGGGGAGCCCCGAGAAGCGCGCCTCCCTGGCGCCCCCACCCCTGCCTGCGCACCCCGGGAGCGGATCCTCGCAATCCTGGCGCGGGAGAGGGAGGAGGGCGCGGGGTCAGCGCAGCGCCCGAGGGTCGACGGGGGCGGGGTGCGGGAGTGGGGGACCCCAGGGGTGGTCATTGATCATCTGTGGCCGCAGGCGCCACTTTTTCGCAAGCCTAGGTGAGCGCGTTGGGACGCCGGGGTGGACCGGACGCCCCCCTGCCCGGTGGCCCTGAGCCTACCCGCGTGGGAAACCGGCCGGCGGTGGAAGGCCTGAAGGGGAAGTTTGTGTTGGGGAGAAAGATTTGCAGTGTTGTGGCATGAAGTAGGGTGGGGAGAGAAACAAGGGAGAGGCCGAGAAACAGGAAATGAGAGCGAGAGCAAAGGAGCAAATTCAAGCCAGGAAAAGCCAGCCTCCGCATCAGTGTGGCACAGTGGCATTTTCCTAAGACTTAAGGCCCGATGAGCGTTACTAATGAAAACAAAGGCGGGGGGCTGTCCGGTGCGCTCTCTGCCCCCTGCCAGGTTTTTATACAGGAGGATGAGAAAGGTGGTCCAACCTAGTGCAGGAGTCCCACGCCCTCTTCTAGTCCTAATGGGATGAATCAACGGGCCTGCGTTTTAGGAATAAAACAGGATTCAGAGGAGCAGCCTGCCCTGGTCTTAGGTTTCGAAGAAGAACAAATGAGATAAGTGAGAAAGTGTATGAAATTTATGGAACACTCCTGGAGCGAAGTAGCCTCGGGAAAGGAGCAGAAAGGCAAGGGACTCAGACCCTAAAAGGAAAGGGAACCTGGAGGCCGAGGGAGGGGTCAGTTGCTAGGGTGAGGTCTCTGTTCCAAGAAACACAGCTGCAGACCCCACCCTGTGCTCTGATCTTGGGCAGAGGGTGAACACCCCTTTCCACGCTTCTGCATCCGGATAGAAACAACAGGAAAAGACAAGTTTGAAAAACGGTAGAATATCAACAAATGTGCAGTTTTTAAACGAAAAACTTGCCTCTACCAGAATCATGGTAAAGTTTTCCTGTAGGTGGGGCTGGGAGAGGCAGGGAGCGACGGAAGTGAGTTTAACTGTAAGGGTGGAAGGGATGCTATAAGAAATTATGTCATCGTGGCTGTTCTTGTGCTAACAGCTCTTTCCAGAGAGCTGAGTGGCGAACCGACCATAAATACATTCTATTGCGAATGCTTCTGTACGTAGAAAATGCAAACTGTACACTCCCTTTCTATGGTAACAGCCAAAGGCATGTTAATAGAATGATGAAAGACAGAAAATAAGCTCCAAGAATCCATTCCAGAGGGGTAAGGAAATTAAGGGCAGGTCAAGGTTAATATCTAGAGTCTGGAGACAGCGAGTGTGTGGTAAGTACATCAAGTATTGGGGTGGGGGGAGGTGCTAGCAGCTTTTTAAAAAATTGTTGACAATTTAAGAAGGAATTAGAAAAGTAAAAATAAGGCAACTCCCCAGATGTAAAAAGAGAAAGAAGGAAAATCCAGGGCTAGAAAGCAGGATCACTTCATTATGTGAACTGGGGATGGGTGGCAGAAAGCAAAAGCAATGAAAGAACTGGCAAAGCACAGATGTTGGGAGTGAGATCTTGAGTGTGTGTGTGCGCGTGCGTGCGTGAGTGCGTGTATGCACAGGCATACAGTTCTGATGCAGTTCTTATCATTCCTCTCTGTAACTTAAAACTTAAGGTGCGGACGGACAGAAGGGAGTGAGGTAGGGAAAAACAATCCCATGCTTACAAAGTTATGTGCATTTTTGATGTTCAGACCTTTTAACTCTAGTTCCGTGTGTTTGCAGGGATGTGAAAATCAGAAAAAGACAGCAAAATTATTTTACTAAGAATACGCAGTTCTGACAAAGTAAGAGAATGCGTAAAGACAAATTAGAGAATCTTACAATTTCAGGGTTGGAAGTTTCTGCCAACTCTAGCCCTGTAAGACACTTCAATTGTGTTTATAACCAATATGAGCCCCTGTTGGTGTGGCTTCCAACTGTAATCGCAGCTACTCATGAGCAGAGATCCCAGTTCCAAGCCAGCCAGGCAAAAAGAAAGATCCCCCCATCTCAACCAATAAGCTGGGTGTGGTGGTATGCATCTGTCATCCCAGCTACCTTGGAAGTACAATAAGAAGGTTGAGGTCCAGGCCCACCTGGGCATAAATGCGAGACCCTGTTTGAAAAATAAATAAATAAAATTTAAATAAAACAAAAAGGGAGGCTCAAAGTGTGGCTAGAATAGAAAAGCCAGTGCCTACCAATTTTAAGGCCCTGAGTTCAAACCCCAGTACCACCAAGAAAAAAAAGATTATTTGAGTCAAGGGTGAGGGCCCATTTCCCTAATACTATATACTCATTTACTTAGTCTTTATTTTCAAATACCCAAAAGAAGACTTGAGTTATCGAAGACAGTGAAAGTTGTTCTTCTGAGTATCTTAGACATGATTCATTCATTGGATTTTTTTTTACCTAACATAATGTCCCAAAGAAAAAAAAGAGCACCACCCAAAAGCAGATAATATATCCAACCCAATAGAGATGATATCACAAAACTCACTAGAGATTTTAAGAAGTTAATATAAAAGCAAATGTTACCTACCTACAAACTTTTTGTTAGATCTTATACTTAGCCAGTGATGATACTCTGAAAAGTTATATATGTGACAGAAAAATCTTTTACAATATTCAGGGTATTACTGTACCACACCCTGATTCCCATCAGGTAAAAAGACTCTCTTCAGTGTCTGTGTACACTTAGCGTTCTCTGGATTAGTGAAGACAAAGATTGCATGAATGATTTAACACTCATGTAATTCTGGGTGGGGATGGAGGAAAATAGAGTCCGATTTCAGAAGTAAACACTTTGTTGAAAGATTGGAGTGAAAATAAAAGTGATTCCCAGAGCTATAAATAACTTTTTAATAAATTCAGAACTGATTTTTCCCGAGGGCTAAATGTGCCTATGTACTGTTAGGTTTTCAGTGGTTCTACTTTTCACATACCATATTTTCTAAATAATATGCTACAAAGGAGGATTTTCCCTGTCAAGTATGAAAAAGACATGTAAGAATCTTCCTACAAATGCAAACAGCTGGTGATATTATGTGATTACATAGCAAAGAACATGTTTTGATTTGGACTATAAGCTATCTGAAAATTAGAAAAAATACCATTGCATAACTTTGTTTTGGTTCCTCTAGTTTAAAAATCTTCATCACATCTTTGGATGGGTCCTGTTTTTCAAGTTCCTGCAGTCACTTTCATTCACATCTCTTCCAGCCTCATCTTCACTATCTCATCCCCTCCCATTCCTTTAGCTCTGCACCTCTGGTGCTCCTTTCCTTAGATACATCCCACCTTTCCCAAGGCAAAGACTTAATTACTGCATACTTATGTTTATAAACCCAACTTGATACAAATCAGTTTCTGTACGATATCATGACCTGTAAGGACACCATTTAGATTTTCATATCCTATTCTTCCCCTTCTAGCACCATCCACACAGATGCCTTTACTCTACTGAATGGTTCACCTCTGTCTCACCCTGTTCAATCCTCCTAAATTATTCCATGACTTTCCACATCCACGGGGTCATAGCCCATCCCCTCATCCAAAAAAAAAAAGTCTCCCTTAGAGTTTCTTTTAGTGTAATGGAAAAAGTACGTCAGCCCCATCTAACTATATTAACCTTCTATCTCAGTTGTTTCTACTTACTTAAAGATTTCCCTCACATTGAAGGATTGACATTTGTTAGATGTGTCTGTGGACCAGTGCGAGACGCATTGGCCCAAGTAGGCAACC